TAATTGTTTGTTGTAACAATTTTACTTGATCGTAATTGTATAAAAATTTAATTGCAATTAAATTTTCGGTACCCCTGGTTATAACAGTAGTTGTCATTTTTGCTTTTGCTTGTTTAGTTGCTTGTTTCTGAATCATAGAATTATTTTTAGTCGTGTTTAGTTAGTCAAGTCTATGCTGTAGCATTTTCTAAGTAAATGAAAGGGTCCTACATAATTTTACATTTTTAACGATTGTTAAATACAGTCAAACCTCTCTAAGTGCACCCTCTATAAGCAAACACCCTCTCTAGATGCGCGCTCAGATTCTGGCCCAAATATATACTTGACCTCTATAACTGCACTTTTTCTTATTATTCTCTAAATGCATGTTGTTAAAATGTGGTCCCAAGGGCGTACACTTAGAGAGGTCTGACTGTAATGTAAAAAATTCAGAATCAAAATTAGGTATGCATTACGCACTAAATTTTGAAATTAATGTGTGCATGTGCGCTTAATTTTAATTCTAAATATATTAACCATTTATAGCGCGCTTTATATGGCAATTAGATACTATGAATCCAGACCAAAAGATTATTATGTCATATATAAAATTGGCCTGGGTTCAAAAATAATTACCCATATGGTAAAATGCGTAATGCCGTAATTCAGTAATTCTACTGCTAAATATACCTCTGACGTTGGTTACATATAAGGACGTTATGATTATTTAAACATTATCGCTGTATATATCTATACTTTATACATTTCGTTTGCTTAATGAAAATTTCTTTTAGCCAAGATGCAGTTTGACTCGGTTAAGCGCGGTAATTATCAATGTTGTAACGTTTGCTCTGTTTTAATATAACGGGCCTATCCCATACCAAAACTAATTATGAAATATGAGTCATATCTTTGCGAACTACGCGTTAATCAGAAATATTTAGAATCAAAAAAACTCATATCGATTTATATTCGTAGAGAGTGTTAAATTACTTTTGGAAATTGGTAAAGTAGTTATAATTTTATATGTAAGACGCTAAGAGAATAAATGCAATATTGCGGTCTTTGATTGTAATATTTTTCAAAATTAAGTCTACTACACGTAATTATTTTCATTTTGGGCCCTTATATGTAATTATTTTCATTTTTTATGTAAATTTCCCATAATTTTACAACCCTGAACAATACCTTTTTAAAAATCACGGAGGTGATTTCATCAAATTATTTTTCAATTATTCAATATTTCAAATGCACAAATAGTTTTCTTTGCTTATATGCATTGTATTTAATTTGTCTTGCAAACGTTTCACTTGCAATCTATCAAAGTTTATATACATAAATGCGCATAGAATTAGCACGTAGAATAGCAAAATGTTTTATAAAAAATAACGCACCAAAAATCTTAGATCACAATTGTTAAAGGTTGCATAAATGCACTAAAATAGATATTTGAACATTAATTGAAATGAGAGACGTCAAAGAAAAACCAGACTTTGGCTTTCAAGTTTATTTATCGGACTCTACCCTAACTAGCGATATACATGGTGTGTAATTAAATTTTCTCATATATTATATATATCTCTGATCAGGATTAAGTCCAGTTAATAATAACCCAAAGTTTTAGCATTAGTTGATTTTCACAATTGCAAAATTATCGCGAGCCTTGTTTGAAAAAAAAGGCTTAATAATTTGATCGTTAAAAATCACCATGACTTTTAGGAAGCACTGTTAGGTAACTTTAATGAGCTTATGGCCAAGATGATAGTATAATAAATTAGTGGGTTTTGGTGTTATAAGTCTAAACCTTAGGTGTAATTGTTTTTGTTATCCCTCTATATTTCTTTAGCAACTAGGATTATAGATTCTGAAGCTCACTTTTTTTTTTTTTTTTTTTTTTTTTTAACTTCTAGCAACTGTTGCGCACCAACCTGGTAAACATTTTCCGGACGCTACAGCAATATGGAAATACAGCACTATGAAAATATGGCATCGAAGCATCACAGCATTATGGTTTACGGTTTTATGGCGTCCACGTAATTAATTACTAATCATCTATAACGCCATAATTCGATAATTACTATAGAAAACAATAGTATCAGACTATCTATTGTCGTAGTTTATTTAAAAAAAACCCACGATGCAAAATGTTATCTATTAACAAGAAGAAACATTTCTAATTCCAAATGTTTACATTTTCCTTAAATTTTAAGTCTCATTCAATTAGCGTCCCCATCTCTGCAAATTTTTCGATAATAAATGAATACTTTATGTTCACCCTTTTCAACTTATGATAACAATATCCAACATTAAATGTTCCACTGGCAGAACTATGGTTTAATTCAAGTCATGTCACTAAAGTTGTTTGAGAGTCTCAATAATAGAGCTTATTTCTGGACGTTTTGCAGGTTCACTATCCCAACATAGTTTGTATAGTTCGATATACTGAGGTGGCGTTCCTACTATAGGTGCTTCTCTTTCTCCTTTAAGTATGCGTTTGGAAATTGAGGTCCCAAATCTAGAAGAGTTGAATGGTGGTTTGCCGCTGGTGATTTCCCAAAGAATAACACCCAAACTATAAACATCTGATCTGATATCACGATAATATAAAGGATCTTTAAGGCATTGAGGGTCGACATAGGCTTGGTATTTTTTAGAGATTGAACACGAGACTATATTGCTTTGTTCAGATAAATTAAAGCCTGTGATTATCATTTTTCCACTGTATGCCATGATATTTCCATAATGCTAAATAATTAAACGAATAAGTTATCTGAATAGGTTTATATATATGAGTGTCACCAAATGAAAAACGTACAATTCTAAAACTAGATTATGAATTTCATAGTAACCTATTTTTAGAATTGCACATTTTCATTTGGCGACACTCATATATGTGTGTAGCGTTTAAAGATTCTTACAAGGTTGCAATGAACAATAGAATTCTTATGTAAGAACTCGATTCCCTTTACTATTTCTTCAGCCATGCTTAGCTTTTCATTCCATTTGAGTTTTGAAAAATTATGATTTAGGTAGTCACGTAAATTCATATTACCGACAAATTGTAAAACCGTGTAATAGTGATCGTTAGGACCTACTTATTAAATAATAATTTGATTAATATTTACAGGGATGGTCTATATATCTTTAAAAGTATTAAATAAACACACGTGCCTCGTGTTATTCCGTAAAATTTAATGACATTCGAGTGGAAAGTAGCTTTTTGTAAAAGTTCAAGCTTCAAATACAATAAAGTAAAATTTAATAAGTACAACATAATCATCAAAATTTAAACTTCACATGTTGAAATAAGGCATATCAGGCTTTAATATTTTGCACCTTCGTGGCAACAACAGAGACATATAAGAACTATTGACATGTCATCAGATACATGATAGCTCTATCATGTGTCTGATATGTCTGATAGTTTATTTCAACCTATGTTTACCTTGTTAATAAATTCTTGAATAACATCTTTTTTAAAATTTTTATCATTAAGGTAACTAAGAGTGACCATAATTCCGTAATTTTTCCACGAAGCTTTAAAATCTTTAACAGATTTAATAGTGTCACTAAATTCAGTATAATTATAGAAAGTAATCTGTTGATTGAAAATAGCTTTTTCGAGCAATCTATTTAAAGGCTTTTCGATGCTTTTATGAGTGCTTGTTGAATTAAATTGACTTAAGAAATTAAGGATGGTCCTAATTTCAGGACGTTTTATAGGATTATCATCCCAACATTTGGAATAAATGTCGATATATTGAGATGATGTGCCTTCTACAGGGCTTTCTCTATTTCCTTTGAATATATGTATAGCAATTTCTTCTTGTGATCTAAACGAGGTAAATGGCTTTCGGCCACTTGAGATTTCCCAAAGAATAACTCCAAGGCTATAAATATCAGATTTTTTATCGCGTTTGTATCTATGATCTTTAAAGCATTGGGGATCAATGTACTCTGTCATTCCATCATCCATTAAATTTGAAGTTGAGGCTTCGATAGTCACATGTTTTAATAGACCTGTAATCATTGCTCTTCTTTCGTGAATTATAATATTTTTAGAGTGCTAGATATATGTTACTAAATATATAGTTCAAAAGATTCATAAACGAGTGTTGCAGAGTGAAAACTGTTACTGTACTTAATGATTTACTATGATCAATAAAATTGCACTCTGCAACACTCAAATGAGAAATATTACTCACAAGATCCTGGTGAATAATATCCAAATTATGTAAGAACGCAAGACCCCGTGCTATCTCTGTTGCAATATGGAGTTTATCTGTCCATTCTAATTCCGAAAAATGTGATCTTAAATACTCTCTAAGATTCCCACTATTTGCAAATTGTAACACTGACATATAACATTCATCTAAATAATATATATACATGTGTGGAATAGATTTCATTATTTTGATTATTAGTAATCATACGTTATAGGTGTATTAGAAAGTTCCAGATAACAAGAATGATTTAAATTGCTAATATCAAAGTTTTTTTTCGAACTGTCGGTTTGAACAGCAAAGGTAGAATTGAATACCTTTTTTGGTTACACCATAGAAATAACTTATATTTGGGTGAAAGCTTGCTCTTTGTAAAAGATTATACTTGTATGTCGTGTATGCAAAGGCTTATAATTAATATATACGATGCAAAAAGTTTATAATAATATTTATTGCTCATACCTGCTTTACAAAATCTTGAACTGTATATGTATTGGAATTTGTTTCGATTCGTAAATTTTTAAGAACCACTACTATTTTAAAATGTTTCCACTCTGATCTGTATGTAGAACCAAATTCACAAATTGGAATGGGGCTAGTAAATTCATTATAATCAATTTTATTAATTTGTCGTTGGGAGATGGCCATTTCAAGCACGTTTGATGAAACTTTTGTATTGATGTTGTCCACAGATCCAGGAAATAATTCATTTAATTCGTCATAAACTGATTTTATTTCTGGACGATTGTTAGGTTCTTGATCCCAGCATTGTTCGTAAAGCTTACGATATTGCAATGGCGTTCCTTTTACGGGTGTTTCTCTCTTTCCTTGAAATACATGAATAACGATTGCTTCTTTAGAGGTGAACGATTGAAATGGTTGTCTACCGCTTGAAATTTCCCAGAGAATTACTCCAAGGCCATATATATCAGATTTTTTATCGCGTATATGCGAACTATTAGTAAAACATTTTGGGTCGATATATGCTGACATCCCATGAATACTTTTTTGTGCTAATTCATCATTGATATGTTGTGATAAACCGAAATCTGCAATCATCACTCTCCGTTCGTGGACTAATATGTTCTTGGAATGCTATAAAAAATCATAAGCTTCCTAAACATATCAAAATACTTCCTTTAAATCGCATGAAGTATACTTACAAGATCTCGATGCACAATATTATTGTTATGTAAGAATAAAAGACCTTGCGCTATTTCTTTTGCAATACGATATTTATCTATCCATTCTAAAGCTAGGAAATTTTTTCTGAGATACTCTTGCAAATTTCCTTCATCAGCAAATTGCAAAATCAAAATGTAGTGACCGTTGAAAGGATCTACTTATATAAATGAAAAATTGTTTTACGTGAGACAACCCATGTGATGAATTAAGATAATTTTGATTTATAAAAATAATGTCACGGTAAAATTTGAGATGCGTTTTATGTTTTCATAAAAAAAGGGCGTCAATTGTCGTTTAGTCTATGACACCATACTTTAGCAAGCTTATTTAATTTGTATGTTAAGTGATACATGCCTTTAGTTATGCCGTATAAAGGATCTATATTAGGATGCAAACTTACTGTTCGTAGGAATTTAAGCTATAAATAATACAAAAAATTAAAATAAAATTATAATTTCTTGATATTTTCAAATAATGTACCTCTTTAATAAATTCATCAGAGTTCGCATTAACTTTCAGACTTTTGAGAGCAACGGTTAGTCCAAAACTTTTCCATTTTGCTTTTTCTATTTTTCCAAATCCACCTTCGTTAATTTTAATCATATCAGTAAAGTCACTATAATCATAGAAGCCTATAAGATTTTCTGAAATTAATTTCTTAATCAATTGTTCTGATTCATTCGAAAAATCCA